TGCAACAAGATGGTTGAGAGGCGAGATGAAAACCACTTGTGCTTCAAATAGCTTCGGTAGGCATAGATTGAGCCGGTTATTCATTCAACACATCTCATGCAACTGATGTGTTCTTGACTGCTATGATTATGATAACCCTCATGAGATCATCACTGTCTGACTGCAAGCAAACTCAATGGCACCGGACAGCCTGATAGGTAATTCAGGGCGCCCGCGCATCCTATCGCACTGAGGAGGGAGCGCATTGAGGAGGGGTTGAATGTGTGATTGATGTTCCATAGGCAGTGTTTTCTTCAATCAGCAATTATAGCATAGCACTCACTATTGCGTTGACATGCGCCTCTAAACACCCTTGTGCATTGTACCTCGCTGTCGTTCTTCAATACTGACCAATCAGGTAGTGTTGCAGAATCCCATTGTCATTCATTGCACTCAGCAAGTGGTTGTGTCATGCGCATAATGCTGACCATGCAGCCAGTGCCGGGACTGACTTTTCCCGCAGCTTTGCTCAAGCAGTGTGTTGTTGCAATCATGTCACGGAAACAGAGCGATGAGTTTCTTGAGGTGATGAGGCTAGCTAATGCGTCTTTTGAATCATCAGCGATTGCCCTGCCGATTGCAGCTGTCAAGGGGAAGTGGCTGGGACAGTACAAAGACAACTACGACGCGATTCTCACTGAGACTGGCAAGGTCGAACTCGTTCCCATATATGACGATATTCCTCCATTCAAGGTCGTGAGTGTTAGGAAATGTCAACTGGATGGCCAGAGTCTACGGTTCTCTCTGGATAGCAGTGACCGGCTGCATACGGGTTTGTACAACAGGGGAATCATACGAGGTGGCTGCGACTACATGGATGATTCAGATTCCTGCAGGGTGATTTCCTATGACTTGGAAACCCACTTCGATTCGACGAGGCAGAATCAACTAATGAAGCGCATACTCATAATTGGTGCAACATGCTCCTGCGGCAAGGGAGTATGTTATTTCTACTCCAGAAGGCACATCGACATCACACCCTTCACACAGAGGAAGTTCCCTGGTGTTGCATTCGAAGCTTTCGAAGACGAGGGAATTATGGTTCGGAGGTTCTTTGAGTGGCTTCACTCGCATCCTTCGAGGGTACTGATTGGATACAATTCATTCTCGTTTGACAACACATACCTCAATACTGCTCGCGGGAAGACCTTGTCTGCTTACGAGAAGTCGCTTCTATACGTACCTGGGAGGTTGGAAATCGACATCCTGAGGATTATATGGGCGAGGCATAAAGGTCGATTCTCAAGGACATCTATGGAGGTAGTTGCCAAGGAGCTTGAACTTGCTGAAAAGCACCAGAAGGGAACTACCAGCGGCAACAGTTGGGCAGTCACAGAGATGGGCGCTCACACCGATGCCAAAGCAAATGCACTGTTTCGGTACAACCTACAGGACACTGTGGTCACTGTGAAGATAGCTGATGCGCTAGGCGAGATTCGCAGAATACTGAGTGAATTGTCAATCAACAGGAACACCGGCCCATGAATGGAGTATGATGTCACCAGGAGCATATGCCACTGACAGCATCACTAGCGAGTATCTGAAGCACGGCTACGTGATTGGCGAGCACAAGGTGAGCGAATACTTCAGGTACAGGGGTGGACTGCTTATGAGGAGAAAAACTGGCAAGTATGGACCATTCAACATGTCGCTGGACTCTACACCGAGATCATTCGACAATACAATCTGGGGTACGAAACATGTGCTCACTCAACTACCAGCTTGCTGCCCGATGCTGAGGTTCGTACGCTGAGATATGGTCGTCATGCAAGCCTGATGCGCTATACAACCGATCGGCACCTTCTGTTTGGAGGGAATTCCGTGAACTAGCACATTACCTTGTTGCTAGAAATGCAGGCAATGATTTGGTAGCTGCGATCACGGAAGCTGTGGGGAAAGAACTGGAGCCAAGATATGCAAGGAACTTTGAAGGTACTCTATTGGCAAGAGTATTCGTGTGTTCACCAACGGTTGAGGAAGAGTCTCACGGTGGTATCCTTGTGTGCGCCTTGGTGCTTGCAACTCCTCGGTCAATATTGTCGCGCTTACTGTCCAGCTCATCACCCAAGTTGCTGAGAGTTAGCGCATACGGCGTCACAGCTGATGTTTCCTCCCGCACATATCATCCGGTTATTGCGTCGATTACAACGACAATGGGGAGGAAACATGCTCGCCTTCTGGAGATAGCTTCTACCAGGAGTGGCATGGTCGACACTGACAATGTTCTCCTACTATCCGCATTCGCTGATGATTACGATGAACAGAACGCAATGAATGAGATCCTTTCTGAGACTCACAAAAATCTCAGATTGTACAGGCAACGTGCACTCGAGACACTTGGTGTTGCTCTGCCAATTGAGCCACAAATTCATGGCAACGTGATGCTCGGTGACAATCTTCGCTGCTGGGGCTATGAGAAGCTCACTATGAGCGTGGATGGTATCGAGCAGAAGACTGAAGACCTACTAGCTACAACTCGCGATGGACCCCACATTGACCTCGGCGTTATCGACATCAGCAGGCACCCGATGGAGGTGAAGGCCTTCTATTACACCAAGCGAAACATATGCCCACTGATACGGGATTACTGCCATGATGTTGTAGTGGGAACTATGAGCATTGACGAGGCAACTTAATTGTGACGCAAAACATACTGGAGTGGGGCAAACAGCGACTGCCCAGCAAGCGGAATATGACATACATTCGATCGAGACCTTGGAACACTCGTGGCATTCAGCATGAGCACTGGCTTTGCATAAACATTCACAGCCGCTATAGTCCTCTCAGTGCGGTAAGCAAGGGACTTAGAAACACAATTGCCAGTGAGATCGGGAGAATGAGTGATACTCATTCCCGTAATGCGGAGTTCACCATTCCTCAACACTGCTCTCTCAGCGAAGATACCAAGCTCACCATGCTGTTGCTTCCACATGTCCTGCGTTGTAGTTGGTGTTGTGGAAGAAGAATCCAATCCAAGGCTGGCCATTAGCGCGCTAACTTGATCTCTCTCCCTATCCGCACTGCAGTGGAATTCATTATCTTCACACGTGCACCCAGAACACTGCCATTTAGTTCAGCACACTCACGACAGGAACTGAACAACGAGAAAGTTTTTTTACACCAGCTCGCAGCCCATCAGCTCCACCAGGTTCTTATACAGTTCCTCATCACATCCAGTATCCCACTGCCGCGAGCTCCGCAGCAAAATCTTGGAACTGATTGCAATTGGCCCATATAGCAGCTCCGGCCTATTCAAGCAATGCCAACAGCGCGTTGGGCGACTTCCAATAGGCTGATTAGTGTCATCACTGCAAGCTTCAACAAAGATGTGATCTCTGCTATCCTGCCCAGACCAGCTGAAGTTGATAATGCAGTAATTGCGATCGAGGACTCTGTTCACCGAGTGTCGACCATGCCATGAGCTAGCTTTGTTGCTGATGTAGCTCACCAAGTTCTTCTGGTTCACCAACAAAATTCCCACTCTACCAGTGAATGTGTTCTTGTGAACATAGCACAGCGACACCTGCTGCACTTTGTTCACCTCCCCAAAGCGGTGAATGGTGGGTGAGATGATGATAACATCACCTTCACACCCACCAATCTCAACACGGGGAGCCTCCAGATCATTCGCATCAGCTTCCTTTGCAGCTGAGCAACTCTTCTCCACCAACTCAATGGAACGCATAGCCACTGCCAACGGTCCGCTCATTGCAACAAGATGGTTGAGAGGCGAGATGAAAACCACTTGTGCTTCAAATAGCTTCGGTAGGCATAGATTGAGCCGGTTATTCATTCAACACATCTCATGCAACTGATGTGTTCTTGACTGCTATGATTATGATAACCCTCATGAGATCATCACTGTCTGACTGCAAGCAAACTCAATGGCACCGGACAGCCTGATAGGTAATTCAGGGCGCCCGCGCATCCTATCGCACTGAGGAGGGAGCGCATTGAGGAGGGGTTGAATGTGTGATTGATGTTCCATAGGCAGTGTTTTCTTCAATCAGCAATTATAGCATAGCACTCACTATTGCGTTGACATGCGCCTCTAAACACCCTTGTGCATTGTACCTCGCTGTCGTTCTTCAATACTGACCAATCAGGTAGTGTTGCAGAATCCCATTGTCATTCATTGCACTCAGCAAGTGGTTGTGTCATGCGCATAATGCTGACCATGCAGCCAGTGCCGGGACTGACTTTTCCCGCAGCTTTGCTCAAGCAGTGTGTTGTTGCAATCATGTCACGGAAACAGAGCGATGAGTTTCTTGAGGTGATGAGGCTAGCTAATGCGTCTTTTGAATCATCAGCGATTGCCCTGCCGATTGCAGCTGTCAAGGGGAAGTGGCTGGGACAGTACAAAGACAACTACGACGCGATTCTCACTGAGAGTGGCAAGGTTGAACTCGTTCCCATATATGACGATATTCCTCCATTCAAGGTCGTGAGTGTTAGGACATGTCAACTGGATGGCCAGAGTCTGCGGTTCTCTCTGGATAGCAGTGACCGGCTGCATACGGGTTTGTACAACAGGGGAATCATACGAGGTGGCTGCGACTACATGGATGATTCAGATTCCTGCAGGGTGATTTCCTATGACTTGGAAACCCACTTCGATTCGACGAGGCAGAATCAACTAATGAAGCGCATACTCATAATTGGTGCAACATGCTCCTGCGGCAAGGGAGTATGTTATTACTACTCCAGAAGGCACATCGACATCACACCCTTCACACAGAGGAAGTTCCCTGGTGTTGCATTCGAAGCTTTCGAAGACGAGGGAATTATGGTTCGGAGGTTCTTTGAGTGGCTTCACTCGCATCCTTCGAGGGTACTGATTGGATACAATTCATTCTCGTTTGACAACACATACCTCAATACTGCTCGCGGGAAGACCTTGTCTGCTTACGAGAAGTCGCTTCTATACGTACCTGGGAGGTTGGAAATCGACATCCTGAGGA